CCAATGAAATTGGCCCATCTTTGTTCATTTTTATATGTTCGTTTCATATGTTCGTTTCATTTTACCCCCCTCCCCCCCTCCCGAGAGTCCTGGAAAAGTGATGTTAACCAAAGAATCAACTTCAAACGGCCTAAACGTGTAATTTGAACATGAGATAATTTGCTAAATCATGGCTAAAACAGCAGCAGAATGGCTTGAAAAAGTTCTTTACGATGGGCATATTAATTATCTCGAATATAATAAATTTAAAAACCCTTTGGAAATTGGCACTGGAAGTTTTGGAAAGGTGTTTAAATACGAATGGAAGGATTGCGATTTAACGGTTGCTCTTAAATGTCTTAAAATTGACAACAATATAGGCTTAATTGAAGAATTTATTAAAGATTATATTGAAAAGGTATTTATAATATTAAAGCTTGATTGTTTTCCGGCATAATATTAGTTTTTTTTAACAATAAAAGCTTAAACTATTGCTAAAAGTCGATTACCATTCAAATATTATTAATTTCTACGGGGTCACGAAAGGTATACATATTGTTCAATGTTTCTAAAGGTAAAATAATAACATTTTAATTTATAGTATTAATTACAAATGAATAGATAATGATGGATATTATAATATGGTTTTACAATACGCTGATGGTGGAAATTTACGAGAATATTTGAAAGCGAATTTTACAAGATTGCAATGGGTAGATAAATTACAAATTGCCAAGGAAATAGTACATGGTCTTTTGCTCTTACACAATGAAAATATTATTCATAGAAACCTTGTAAGTATATTACCTTTATATGTTTGTGAGTCTTAGCCACAGTAATTAATGTTCTGATATATTTATAGCATTCGAAAAATATCTTAATTCATCAAAAACAGTCAAAAATTGCAGATTTTGGACTATCAAAACCGATAAATGTGACATCTATGACTTCAAACTCGATTGCTCGCGGAATGCCAGCTTACGTCGAGCCTCAGTGTCTTTTTGAGCAAGCATATAAAAGTAATAAGAAGTCGGATATCTATAGCCTTGGTGTAGTACTTTGGGAAATCTCGAGTGGAAAGCCACCATTCCAACATTTAACAAACGAATTGGTTCCCATTTATATTTATCAAGGGAAGAGAGAAGAACCGATAGAAGGTACACCGCCTCAATATATTGAACTTTACACACTATGTTGGGATTATAATCCTGCTAACCGTCCTGAAACTGGAGAAATTCTCAATACTTTAAACCGACTCGTCGAAGATTTAAAACATGTTACTAATGAACATTTATTTAAAAATAATGAGCCTACTAATAGCTCAAAAAAATTCACCGAAAATTATAGCTCAAAAAAAGCCCCCGAAAATTATAGCTCAAAAAAATTCACCGAAAATTATAGCTCAAAAAAATTCGAAAACTTAACTAGCCTTAAACAATACTTGTCAAGTCAAATTATTTCCAAGGAAACTTCAGATAACCTTATCCCTAATGAAGTATCAATTAAAAATAATGAAACTTCTTCTGATACCGCAATCTCAAGCTTTTTATCTTCGCTTAATGTAAAAAATTCAACGCAAAATTTTTTTAGTATTAAGGATCTGAGAAAAGAAGCGCACGAATGTTTTAAGCGAGGCAAATTTCTCAAAGCCTTAGAATTTTATGAAGAAATTCTCAAGAACAGCTGCCATAATGATGAAGATCAAAAAAGTGCATCAAACTGGAAGCTTTATTTTAGATGTGGATCGGAAAAAATAAACGAGCTAATAAAGGCACTTTGTAAGAACACCGTGCTGACTTCTTTGAATCTTGGTTATAATAATCTTGGATCAGAAGATGGAAAAGCATTAGCTGATGCACTTTGTAAGAACTCCACGCTGACTTCTTTGAATCTTTCTTATAATGATCTTAGATCAGAAGGAGGAAAAGCATTTGCTGATGCACTTTGCAAGAACTCCACGCTGACTTCTTTGAATCTTTCTGACAATAATCTTGGATCAGAAGGAGGAAAAGCAATAGCAGATGCACTTTGCAAAAACTCCACGCTGAAGCATTTGAATCTTTGCCATAATAACCTTGGACCAGAAGGAGGAAAAGCATTAGCAAATGCACTTTACAAAAACGCCACGCTGAAATATTTGGATCTTAGTTATAATAATCTTGGATCAGAAGGAGGAAAAGAATTAGCGGATGCACTTAGCAAGAATTTTACTCTAATTAAATTAGGCATTCTTAAGATAAATAATGAATTTAACATGAAAATTGAAATACTGCTCCAAAGAAACAATTTATTTGTTCAAATAGAGAATGCAGACTTCAAAAAGTTTTATAAAGATTATTTGCAAAAAAAGTGGACAATAATGCTTAACAAATGGTGCAATGAGTTAATAGAGCAACAAAATTTAAAACAGGAAACAAAAATATTTTCAAAAACAAAAGAAATACATAATTTTTTAATTGCAACCTTCTGTAAAGATGATCTGTTAAAAGAAGTTGAGATAAACGACTTACTTAAAAAACTTCAAACTAATGATGATATATTTGTGACTAGCAATGATAATATAAATAAAATAAATAAAATATGGAAAAACTTAATTAATCTATTCGTTGAACGAACATTTTCATCACATAAACAGGCACTATTTTTTTTATTGTCAATGTTTAAGGATGAAATCTCGATAGAAGCGATAGAATTGCTTCACTTATTAAGTGGAATTCAATTTATTGATAAGATACTAAAAACGGATGCAATTGCTGATGACATAAAGGTTGAAGAAGTATGGAAACAAGCCCTAAAGGCTTGTTGGAAGCAATCCATTCCTTTATATAAAGAAGGAGAGGGATTTTTAAACCAGCTTTTTTATAATGATGAACTTAACACAAATGAGTTTTTAAAGCTAATAAATAAGGGAGGTAGGGGTATTATGGCGAAGCTAAGCATGCTACAAGTAAAACTTTTTATTTATCCAATATAGAACTTT